AAAGAATAAATGTTGATTAAAACAAAATATAGGCAACTTTCTCTCGTTACACAGGATCAGTACCGTACTCGGGGCGCATGCCTGGCAGTAAGAAATTGGTGTATCTAGATACCTACGATAGTCTGCGCCACGACGTCAACTTTATATGAATCGTAGACCACCAGGTCGACAGGCCTAGTTAGTCGTGTTTTTCCTCATACACCGTGCACCTAGGAAAACGCTGCAGTTCTGGTTGCTGAGTCCTGCAGGTAAATTCTACAGACTAGCCCCCCGCCCTCACAGCCCCTAGCAAAAGCGAACGAGTACTACCCTATAACAGTAGGTTGTCGGGGAGGATGTGGTGACAGTCAGAAGCAGGCTCATGACGCGTAAACCCTTGAAGTCCAGTGGTAGCATCGGCCAGTGAACTGGTGCTTTCGATCACAGGAAAGATGTATGATGCGATGCTCGAGCCTCGCCGCCAAGCTGTGTCGACTATTGAATGAGTTCACGCATGTTCATTGGCTAGTTGATCGGACAACGCGCTGGCTTTTGGGCTCGCCCCCTTGGGCGTCATTTCTAGCCGTTGTGTGCACATAATTTCTGTCTTAATGTTACCCCTTCTCTTGACTTTGAACATTAATTGTTTTATGCATTTTTAGACCATTGTGTAAATTTTAAAATCAATTAGAATATTTAGGAGGGTGTTGATTACGCTGTAAATTAAAGTGTATGCCGAATTGCCCAGGACGTGACGAAAGGGTACCAGTCTGACGCACCTTCACGAGGTTGTTTCTCTTGCGATTCGTCGGCCGATAGTGACACGACCTCTTCTGACACAGAGACGAGTTTGACGTCCATGGCATTGAGCAAGGGGCTCGAGAAGTTTACAAGGACCCTGTCCACAGAAGAGGGGTCGAGCGTGCGCGATGCTGTGCTTATCTGCTCAAATTAATCCGCAGGTGGACAAGTCATCTTCTTTATCCATGGTAGTATCTGGAACTCGAATATTTTTATTCGTTCATACCTGCTTAACCCTAATGGCAGTCGGTATAGCAAGTATGTATGGGAATATCGACATGAGCACAGTGTGCGCTCATTGGCTACTCCATTTTATTGATCTGTGTTCCTATTGGCCTGCGTGAGTTGTAGCAATCACGCGATGGGCGTCATTTTGCATTTGCCGCCTTGTTGCATTATGTCTAGGCAGGTCTGCAAAAGAACAATTTGACGGCAGGTGGCGCGAGAAATAACCGAATTATTGCGTGTAGTTGACGAGGAATTGAGCTTATGCTGTTTATTGTACACTAACAAACACATGGTACTGACGACTTTTCGTCTGACCTGCTCACGGACGCAGAGATTGTGGTCGTCTCTGTGGATTCCGTTGCTACACCATTCGGCTCATTTCCCTACCGCGAATAATATGCCCCGCCAAAAGTGATGGCTTAGGTGTGTGTCAGCTGACTGGAGGCACAGGCTGCGATCGCTCCTTCCTAGTACGGTCTCTATCCTACTCTCACTGAGGTGGGATACCGGCCCTCACTTTATTGCTTTGTTGAACACTATATCCCTTGTGTACGTGCCCGGCGTGGATGTTA